TCCTGAGGGTCCGGCACCATTGGGAACCCGGAAGTGCTCCGGGCAGCCGGACAATTGGGGCTGCTCTGTGCCTGGCATCCCTGATTCAGCTGCTGCTGAAACTGACCAGCTGCGGCTGAATCAGGGACACCTGGGACAGAGCCAGACTATCGGAAGGAGAGGCTAAGAGGGGCCAGAAGTGGCACCCCCCCACCCCAGACCTCTCATAGCCCCGCCCTCCGATAGTCTGGCATATTTGATAATCCGGCACCCCCTGGGTCCTAAAGGTAATAGGGTCTGTCATAATGCATATAGTGACGGTCCAAGTACCCCTGGGACGAGTGTCATGAAGAAATGACACTAGCGTGCCTAACATAATATGCATGGCGTGGCGAGTGCACAGGAGAGCGTGGGTATTGCGAAGGAGACCGTGATCAAGAATCCCTGATGTAGGTAACGGGCTCCCTGTGATGGTTATAATAGGGCAACAGACTTGTGCAGACTGGAGTGCCTTGATCTCTGGTGGAGTGAGGTGCAAGAGAACGGTGCTGCAGAGATGGTCCGGGTGAAGTTGTAGGAGAAGGTAGAGGAGAAGGCGCATGCCTGTGGGATTTTGAGGTTGCCTTCCTCGGTACCGGAGCAGACAGCTCTGAACACGCTGAAGGGACAGCAGCCTGCTGAAGGGACAGCAGCCTGCAGACCAGGGGGAACTGCTGAGTTAGGCTGAAGATCTGCCAGTGCCGAAGCAGTGGACAGCTCCTGAGGTGGGAGGGGAGGAAGCTGCAGCTGAGCGCGGTGAGGACAGCAGTACAGCGGTCGGTGTTGGCAGGGCAGAGTCTTTCAAATGGCGTTCTGGTGCGGTGCCGGTCGGCTTCTTAGAGCCAGAGACCGGTGCAGAGCCTGTAGAGGAGCCGGACTTGCCCGGCTTGTGTCCTGCGCTTATCCGCTTCTGCGGAACAACAGGCAGGGACCCGACTGGCAAAGGTTTCTCCCTCAGAGGAGAGGTACTTTCAGGGGAGGGAGCCCGCCTCCTCCCTGCATCAGCAGTGGGATTAGTGGTGCCGGCATTCTGAGGCACAAGCGCCTTGTCAAAGAGTATCATTTTCAGGCGTCTCTTGTGATTCTTACGGGTTCTCGAGGTTAGGTTGGCACAGTGGGTACACTGTTGTGGCAAGTGTGCCTCCCCAGGCACCTAATACAGGAGGCATGGGTGTCAGAAACCGGCATAGTCTCATGACAGAGCGAGCACTTTTAAAAACTGGGAGAACTTGGCATTTTGTCGCTTGAGTGCTCTTGCCCCGCATACCACTCAAGTTTGTGGTATATGTGCTCCTTTCTGTTCGTTGGTATCTTTATTTCTTGTATTGCCTTATTTCGCTTATCCTTTTCTCTTATTCTTTGTTTGGTTTCTTTCTTTCTTTCTTGAGAGAGAGGTGGCTATGCGCCAACTGAGAACAACAGGAATGATAGAGACGGAGATAATAACTATTAAAGCATCTCTATTTCTACTTTTTTTTTTTTTTTTACTTTAGAGTGGAGATAAGGAAAGGAAGGCAGATAAGATCAAAGAGTAAATTTAACTATTAACAGGATGCTGAGGTACTCTGAGGAGAGGGGAGAGAGCTCCGTCCCTCCATGGCCAGAGGCAGTTGAGAGGAACTGAGGCAGGGGCCGGACCACAGTCGGAGAGGAAAGGTGCAAACGGCCTTGAGCGCTCACGCACGCGCGGTCTGGCCGAACACAGCTTTGGGAAGCCCCCGATTCACAGCACTGGGGCAAGCCCGACACCAGACGTGGAGCACCCATGGGGACTACCCGAAGAAGAATTATGAGTTGCCTTCTTCGGTGCTGGGGGGGCTAATAGCCTCTTCTGGTGCCAGGTGTTCTGTGGCATGCCTCAGTGCCAGTGCCTGCACCGTTTGGGCCAGTGCCATTGGATTTGCTATATGCAGCACCAGTGTTGTCGATGAAGATAGTGCTTCAACTCGCGGTGTCAAGGTTGGTGGTGCTGAGCGCCTTGCCGGTGCCGTAGCTACCGGTACCGCAGATGTTCCATGTCGAATCTTTGGTTCTGAGGCCGTTTTGAGCCACAGTTTCACGGCATCATGTTCCTGGCTTCTTCCCACTATTTATTCTACTTGTGGAGGCCAGTGGAAAAGAACACGCTGGTGAAAAGCTCTTTTATGGGCAGAAGCCACTGTAGGAGAAGCAGCTCTCCGTTTTTCTTCTCAGCAAGTCTGATTCTGAGGGCTGCAGGGCTTTATCAAATAAAAACATCCTGAGCCTCCTCTCTATCATGCCTTGCTCTCACTGCGAGTTTTGCACAGTGCATGCACTTTTGAGGCACGTGGGATTCACCCAAACATTTTATGCCATCTGCGTGGCCATCGGAAACTGGCATGGGTTCCTGACACGTGACGCACTTCTTAAACCCCAGCGAACCCGGCATGACTAAAGGGCCTGTCGCAGTGCTGATAAACAGATAAACAGTCTCTGACTTACTTTCCTTCTGTTCTCTTTGCTTTTTCTCTCTCTTTCCTGTTGTTATTGTTATTTTCTTCTCTCTCTCTTTTTTTGTTGTCGGATGGGGAAAAAAGTTTAACAGAGAACCCCAGCCCCTTTTTTTTAAATGAAGCAACTACAACTATACAGCCACTCCCCGACTTACAACAACACTGACTTATGACCATCTGTACTTACGGCCAACCTCCCATTAACTCCATTATAATATTTTCGAGTTAAGAACCATGTACGTCAAGTTTTTTGAACAGCGCAGGCAGTGTGTTTAAGGGTATTTCCGACTTCTGACCAAATCGAGTGACGACTGGGTGTTCGGAACATAACCCATTCGTAAGTCAGGGACTGCCTGTATGATGAACAATTGAAAAACTGACTGTACTGTGAAGAAAAAACTTATCGTAAAACAAAATTCCTTCTCTGACTAGAGCTGTTGAGGAGAGAGGTCTCGCTCCATCTGTGACCTGGGGCGGCGAAGAAGGAACAGGCAAGAGCTGGACCGCACAAGAGATCAAAACGTGTGGATGGCAGCTGACCACTGCTCATGAAAACTCAGCTCTGTGGCGCCACGATGACCCAACACCAACAGTGGAGCACCCACAGGGACATCACTGGAAGAAGAATGCCTGTTCTCACTTTCAGGCGACAATGTAAATAAGCAACAGGCAGCATTATCTCCTGTAAATATAAACAAACTTGTTTGTCTTAGCAACTGGTTGAATAAGTAGTAGTACTGAATGGACTTATAGGCGCTAAAGTTTTACATTATTTTGTATTGGAGATATGTAAAAACAAAATACATATATGAAAATTGCACTTTCACAAAAAGCAGCTGCACTACAGGACTTGTATGAGAAACTGAAAAAATATCATTGTCATATTTGCAGTGCAAATATGTTTAAAAAAGAAAGCACTGTACATTTTTGTATTGTGTTGTAACTGGTATCAATATATTTGAAAATGCAGAAAAAATAAAAATATTTAATACATTTCAATTAGTATTCTGTTTAACAGTGTTATTGCATCAACAATTATTGTGATGAATTTTTATTGAAATTAATTTTTTGAATTAGTGTGAGTTAACTGGTCAATCAACAGCCCTATTTGCAATACTTCATCTATAGGAAATGACACCAATGCGACTTCTAACTCAGAACGGGACTAAATGCAGTAAGCTCCTGAGTTAGGCTGAATACACAAAGTCCAAAGGTACAAGATTGAGTGAGTTTTAGGTTCAAACCCCATTTTTAAGCATAAGGGAAATGAGCAGTTTTAACCTGTTATTATTGCTGTGTTGGTCCTAGGGTAATATCTTTTATTAAACCATTTTGTGCTGGTGAGAGACACAAACTTACACAAGGCTGTTCTTCATCTTCGATTTCATCTTGCAATAGCTCTTCTGCCAAAGGTAACTTAGGCTCTTGCTCTATTTTTTTATTGTCAGATGTGCCATCATGCACATGCTGCAGATCCAGCTCTTCTGGGTGTTTTGGTTCAGAAGATCCTTCATCATCACTGGAAAGAACAACTAAAGAGGAAAATACATTTTTTTTATAAACTCAGATTTAAGAATAAATTGCAACTCCTAACAAATTATAGATTTCTGGTAAGAAAAAAAATTGACTTTGGGGTTTCCACACCTTTTAATAGAACCATTAAACAGGTGTTATGTGGACTTTATAGAGGTAGAGTTAAACTATGCACTACCATGTAAGCGATTCAAGTTACATATATTCATACACACAAACTTATTTATGTATCTGTCTCTCTCATGGGTTTGGCAGGGGCAGAGAAGGCTATGAAGAAATACTATAATGCAGAGGGACCTCCACTGCTCTGCACGACCCATTCTGGTTAATTTAAGAGAGAGCCATTTACAGGATCCTATGAGTTCCACCAAGTCTTCAGCTAAAAAGATGTTAAAGTACAGCTGTAGAGATACTATGGAGGCAGGACAGGGAAACACCTAAATGGACACTAAATAAAACAAGCTTAGGTTTAAAGTACCATTATGGTTTTGACTTAAATGATCATAAAATGAGGGAAGATTCAAAATGAGGGTTGACACTATATCCTTTACTCACACCCATATGATGTTTATATATTATTTCTACAAGATTACTGGCCCTAGTAGATGGGAGAAAACTGCAGGTGAGAGATCTTCATTTTAGTAAGTAAGGTTTCTGATACGGTTTCACATGACACTCTCATAAGCTGATGAAATGTGATTGAAAGTAACCTACGGTGGGTGCATAACTACTCTGAGCATGGTTTTTCAACCAGTTATTAATGGGTCACTGTCAAGATGATATTGGAAATTTTTTTTGAAACTAAAAGGGTAGTTAAGCATTAGAAGAGACTTTCAAGGGGCACTGAGGAATATTCATCATTGGAGGTTTAAGTTTAGACAAACACCTGCCAGGTCTGGTCTAAATATATTTGATCTCACGTCTGCACAGGGTGCTAGACTAGATGATCTCTCAATGTCCTTTTCAGCCCTATATTTATATGATTTTATATAGAATCTTTTACCCAAGGACCTCAAAACACTTTTCAGGCAATAATGAAGTAAACCACAACACACCTCCCTAAATTAGGTAAATATTTCTCTCATTTTAAAGATCAGAAACAAGGAGAGTAACTTGCCTAAGGTCACACAATGAGTCAGATGCAGAACAAGGAACAGAACCCAGAACTTCTGTCTTCCCAATGCTGTTCCAGTGTGTAGTAGGGTGGACTGGCTGCCCACTGAGCCGGAGGCAGAGGATCCCCTCCAGGAGCCAGTTTGGGCACAGTCTAGAACCTCCCTATCACCGGACCGGAAGTCAGTGGGCGGGGCTGGGACTATAAAGAGCCCCAAGGACTCACCTGAGACCTGGCTTGGGCCTTCCACAGCCTCAGAGGCTGAGGCTAACACTGACCTCTCTAACTCAGAGGCTTAGGCCTGGCTCGGGCTTCCAACAACCTCTGACCCAGAGGCCTACCCCCAACTCCCTGACTGGGATCCAGAGACCTGGCCGAGCCTGCCCTCCGACCCAAGGCCTGCCCAGTGCTTCCGGTGACTGGCCCCAAGGACCCACCTGAGCTCCAGCGCCCCCCTGTACCCCGGGTCCGTGAGCGCCTGCCGACCCGGCAGGCCCCATTGGCTGTACCCGGGAACCTAGTTGACCTGAGGGACCTGCCTGAACCCTGGTGCCAGCCTATACCCTGGGACCTGGATACCCTGCCAGTGCTGCTGGACGAGCCAGACCCCGAGGACCAGCCCAGCCACCACTGCCCGCTGCAACCTGCTTACCAGCTAGAGCCTGAGGACCTGGAAGCTGCTGAGGCCTGGATCGGGCCCCCGGGACTCCTTCCCGAGGAGACTCTCCTCAACTCCCCGAGGGACCTGTGACAGACTCAGGTACCTGCTGAGGGGGAGAAAGGTAGTGGCCCAGGTATAGCTTGGGCTGCTAAAAGCCCTAGGCCAGCTCATTTCAGGCTGGAGCCCCCACTGTACCAGCAGCAGCGGCTCTACTGCCTCTAGGGTCCTGGGCCGGGGCACAGTGGAGTGGGTGGGCCTGCGCCCCCCTGCCACCCACCTATTGGGTGGCAGCCTCCTCCCTCACCACCACTGCAGGTGAACTACCTGCCCTCATCCTGAACAAGGAGCTTCCCCAAACTTGTGTGGTTGCGGCCACGCCCTGAACCAGGGCCTGGCCCCCTCTTTGAACTGCTACTGTGTTTGCTGTTGCCCAGCCTGGGACTAAAACTGCGTTTGGTGCCCCGCCCCAGGGCCAGGGCTCATTTACTGTGGTGGTTGCCCCCGCCTGTGACAGGCCTGGGGACTCTGAACTCACTTACGGTGTTTGGTTATTGCCCAGCCTGGAACCAGGACTGGGCCTCTTAAAGGGGCAGGACTATTGCTGTTGCCCTGCGTGGAACGGGGCTAGGGCCCTATTAAAAGGGCCTTACGGCCCCGATCTGACGGAAGGTCGGGAATTGAACTGTGGGCCTAGAGACTTGGGACTATATTGAACTTCTTCCCCAGTGCCCCGGACCTGAAGCAAGGCCAGGCTATGGACCGTTAGTTTGAGAACTATTTTAAAAGGTTGTACAGTGGGGCGAATAGGCCGCCCACTGAGCTGGAGGAACCCCTCCGGGAGGCTGACCAGCCTATACAGTGCTGTTCCTTAACTATAAGATGACCCATTCCAATAGTATATCTCATACACTGTTCTGAGGTGCATGCAATGCTTTTAGTGATATTGTGATCTTTGATCCCTAATTTCTACGGTGGATGTAAAAGATTAACCAGTTATCTGGTAAGCATGAGGCTTACCAGAATGATTACTGGGTAATTGGTTGGACCGCCAACTCTGCCAAGCTGGAGCAGCCCCATCTGCGTCGGGCCAGCTGGCTGGACCCCAGTCATGTCGCAGAAGCAGGCAGGGCTGTGTCCAGTTTGGGGTGGCAGGATCCCCTGGCCCTGCATCAGGATGGCAGGTGAGACCCCAGGCCCAGTGGGGCCCAGGCCCTGGTTGCGCCACAGCAGCTCACCAGAAGTTAACTGGTATAATTTTAGTTATTTAACCAGTTAACTATTTAACAGATATTTACATCCCTATCCTCTACTTCAAGTATTTACACCAGTACGCCATGCCTGCCTCTAAGTTTCTACATGTAAATATTGCCTACACAGATACGTTACATACTTGGCTCAGCTGAAACAAATGACTGACTGTCATCGCGAACTCTGCTGCGCAACTTGCTCAGATATTCTGACATGTCCATCTTCTTTTTACCAGAAGTGCCAACTAGAGGGGAAATCCTGACATCCTCACTGGTGGCAGAATACTGCTTCTGCAACAAACTCCTGGGAGCAGCCTCTAGGCAGTGTTCCTTTGCACAGCTGAGAGCTGGTTCCAACTGGTCATGGATGGATGATTCTTTACATTCTGCCTCTACAACCAGGGAAATATTTTTCTGAATCAGGTTAGATCTGCAGACCTGAGTTGAAACTATCCTTTCTTCTTTCTGGAAAAGAAAACCCAAAGATTTAATCTTTTCGGGATTCAAAATATACATCTATATCCTGGCCTTGCTGAGATGACTGAGTTCTGTGACCACTGACTTACCCGACTAGCAAGGTAAAAGAGACATTGCTTAATATTTTACATGGAGCTAAGTTTAGGACTCAGCCTGGTGTTACTTCTTCCCCAATTGTATGACAATGCAGTATGTTTACTTGACACACAGTAAGCAGAGAACAACCTTTCTAACCACAACTATTTTCAAACTGAACAAAAAAAAGGGGGGGGGTAATCTTGTGGCAACTACCCCATGGACTGCAACAGATAGCACTTCTAACTCCCAAAAAGGCAGAGTTGGGGATACTGAACAGCTCTTTGATTCAGCCGATTGGGAACTCCTAGCCTGATCCAAAGACCTCTATTCATTGACTGTAGGGGCTTTGGGCTAAGTGCTTACAGGGCACCTGTTATTGGAGCATTCAGGTGCTTGAACACCGATGCCTTGTACCGGACTCTGCTGTTACTTTCCACAAGCTAAATTTTTCAAAGTCCCTTTACCTCTTTTTACCATTGCTTAACAATTGATCAGAATAAACTATTTCTCTCCAGGATGCCAATAACTGACAGTTCATAATTTTAAAATACTTAAAAGTTATGGTCAATTCTGAAATGAGCAGAAAAGTAATTTTGTAAATGAAATACACAGTGAAAGAGAAAAATAGCACACCTACATTCTGATACTTAGGCACCAATCCTGGAAAAACTTATAGAAGTAACTCTGCATACCTCAGTAGTCCCACAAGTTCAAAATGTACTGTAAGGCGATGGAATTTTAATGTACATACTAAGAGTACTGGCCCACCATGAGACAAAAAATGGGGGAAATTAATAATAATGCAGAAAAAGCAAAAGTATTCAATAAATATTTCTGCCCTGTCTTTAGGAAAAAACAGATGATGTAATCACATCATAACACTCTTTTCATTTCACCAATATCTAGTTAAACATAGGCTCCTAAAACTTAAGATTACTATGGATAAGTCGCATCTAAGAATTTTAAAAGAGATGGCTGAAGAGCTCACTGAAAGATTTATGCTGATTTTCAATTCATCTTGAACATGAGGGAAGTCTGAGTGGAACAGAAAAAAAAAACTAAGATTGTGCCAATGTTGAAAAAAACAAGATCTAGGTAATTACTGGCCTGCCAATGAGACACTGATCCTACACAAAATAATGGAATGACTGATACAGGACTCAATTAATAAAGAATTCAGGGTAATATAATTAATACCAATCACATGGATTATGGAACACAGACCCTGTCAAAACAACTTGATAGCTCTGACTGAGAAAGATAGTAATACTGATATAATATATTTGGATTCCAATAAGATATTTGACTTAGTACCATGACGCTGATTAAAACACTAGAATAATATAAAATCAACATGGCCCAGAAAGGGCTAATTAGCCTACCCAATTGCATGTCTCAGGGGGTCCAGGGATTTATAAAAAGTCCTTGATGAAGCTCAGTGGAGAAGCTGGGAAAGACTCATTTAGACAATAAGTTTGTGATAGCAGGAAGACTGCAGGAAGATAGTCTGTAATTATGCTCCAGCAGCAGAGAGGTAAAGAAGAGGAAATCCATGGTGGAGAATAAAGTACAGCCTGTGCAAAAACTGGGGGAGTGGTAAACAATAAAAAGGACAGGTCGCTGATAGAGTGATCTGAATCGCTTGGTAAGCTGGGTTCAAGCAAACAACATGCATATTAGTAAAGCTAAATGTCAATTCATACATGATGAGACCAACAATACAGGCCAAAAATACAGGATGAGTGACTATCCTGGAAAGCAGATGTGTGTGTCCTAGATAATCAACTACGTGAGCTCCCAGTGCAACAATGTGGCAAAAAGAGCTCATGAAATCCTTGTATGCATAAACAGGTGAGTCAAGTAGGGGAACAAAGATAACTGTACCACTGTATATGGCACAGGCGCAACCTTTGCTGGAATACTGTGTCCTGTATTGTGGCATTCATGCTTCGAGACAGATATGGATGAATTGGAGAGTTCAGAGAAGAGCAACCAGAATGATGAAAAGACTGGAAAGCATATCTTATAGCAATAGAAAAAAAATCTATCTTTTTAGTTAAACAAATAGAACATTAAGGGGGACTTGATCACTGTTCATTAATATCTGCACAGGGAACAAATATTTGGTAGTGGTAGTCAATCTAGCAGACAAAGTTATAATACAATCCAATGAGTCAGGCTCAGACTGGCAATAAGGCATACATTTTTAACAGTGAGAGAAATTAATCATTGAACCTATTTAGAAAGGGTTGTGATAAATTCTTCATCAGCACTTTTTAAATCAAGAGAGGATTTTTTTAAAGACATGCTCTAAGAATTTTTGTGGAGGAAATTGTATGGCCTGTGCTTACAGAAAATCAGATTATATAACCCCAATTGTTCCTGGCAGTCCTAAAATCTACTTACATATAGAGACTTACTCATATAAATGTTGCAGGGTCAAAGTCTTAGGATAGGTCTACACTGCACGAGTATTTTGGGATCGTCTTAACAAGCAGTCCATTATCTTGAAATATTTTTCGAAATAATGGGCATGCTATTTCGGCATCTCAGTAACCCTCGTTCCATGAGCGTTAAGAGATGTATTATTTCGAAATTTCGAAATTAGCCTATTTTGAAATGCAATCAAAATAAGATACACAATTTGCACTATGCAAATTGTGTATCTTATTTCAAGTTTAGGGTGCTTTGTATACTCACCCTTAGTGTATTGCTATCTGGGAACAGAAGGAAAGATTTCAAGATTTGATACATCAATACTTACCCAACAGATGATAAACATAATGTCTTTTAAAAAAAATGTACTAGCTACCATTACAATGTTGGGGTTTAGTTGCTGCTATTTAAGTGAGAGAATACTATGCATATGGATGAAATTGTTACTTACATAAGATGATGGTAATTTTCCTGGGGAACATGCATTACTCTCATCAGAAAAATAGCCACTAAGTCTTCTTTTCCTCTTCTCGGAATTCAGACAACTTGGTTCTCTCAAACCAAGAGAGGTATAGTTCGAGATTTTGGTTTCCTTATCTTGCGGATCACTTTCCTTATTTTCTATAGCAAATAATTTAATAAAAGCAAAAACAAAAAGACAGAAAGGCTTAATAGGGCATAACACAGTAACATTTCTACAAAAATTGATGGTAGTCATCCTTAAACATCTTAAGCGTTCTTAAATTGCGGTCACAGTGACAAAAATTTAAAAAGTGTATTGACTACCATATTTGCATCCACACGTGATTTTTCTCTGTCTTTCTTGTATGTGTTTACTAGATAATTCCCCGCTCCCCAGGTAAAATGGAGATACACAATAAAAAAATATTTTAAATTCAAAACAATTTGAACTTTGAACAAATTTGAAAACTACAGGAACAAGAAAAGAATGCAACTGAATTTATAGCGCAACTCAAAGTAGGAGTGTTGTCCTCAGTGCCTAAGCCAATTCTAGTTTGCGTGATTAACATTCTGCCTTCCCAAGTTCCTCCTGCACTTTCAGCTTTCTATACTATTCTGCCTCTCTTTGGCATATATTGTTAAGTGATGTTAAAATCTTGCGCATTCCACACATACTTGTCTGTCTTGCAGTAGTCAGCAAAATCATTGTATAACATTTGTACATCAGTTAAATTCATGTAACATTTTAATATTCAAGACAAAAGGCCTTTTATAAAGATGATATCAGCATTTTCGATGAAACAGTTAACTTATTTGATTAACAAAGACAAATGAATTAGGAACTAGTTTTTAAAAATAGTTGCAATTAATTGCAGTTTTAATCGTACCATTAAACTATAGAATACCAATTCACATTTATTGTAAATATTTGTGTAAGTTTTTCTTCATTTTCAAATATATTGATGTATTTTACAATATAAAATAGAAAATATATAGTGCTCACTTGATAGTTTATTACAAATATGTGCACTGTAAAAATAATAAACTTTTTTCAATTTGCCTCATACAAAGCCACTTAGTTCAACATCTTGATCAGCCAATTGCTATGACATTTACAGGAGATAATGCTTCCCACTTCTTATTTACAATTTTACCTGAAAGTCGAAACATGCTTTCGCCTGGCACTATTGTAACTGGAGTTGCAAAGTATTTACATGCAAGATATGCTACATGTTCATATGCCCCTTCACACTTCCACCTGTGGGCTCTAAAGTTTCACACTGTTTTGTTTTTGAGGGCAGTTATGGAACAAACAAACAAACAAAACTTCTACATTTGTAAACTGCATTTTCACAATAAAGAAACTGCACTACAGCACTTGTATGAAGTAAACTGAAAAATACAATTTCTATTATCTTTTTTACAGTGCAAATATTTGCAATCAAAATAATAAAAAACACTGTATGCTTTCTGTTCTGTTTTGTAACTGACATCAATGTATTTGAAAAGGTAAAAAATCCAAAATAATTATAATAAATTTAAATTGGTATTCTATAAACAGTTCAATTAGAACTGTGATTGTGACTTTTTGCTCTCACAATTAACTGTAATTTTTAATTGACAGGTCTAATTAAAACCAAAGTGTCCAACTAGTTCTGAAGCAGTAGCCATTATAGTGGCTAGTACTTTGGACATCATGGCACTGAAAGAAGAGACTGAAGTTTCTCTCTCAATTTTCTTCTGTTTATGGGCTTAAATTATTACCTTAACAATATTTAGCTTTGTATATTTGATAGTGTACGGATATTTTATCCCACAGTTTTGCATACATATTGTTTACAAAGCAAAACCTTTGTATTACCTTCTTTTTTCTACACTCTCCTGGTAAATCTAAGGCAAATATCCAGTTATTGTAAAATCCAAATATTTAAATGTAAAACGGAACTGCTCATCATCACCAACCTTTCTTCTGCTGGTTATATCTTCTTACAGTAAAGAGAGCATTATTGCTTTCTGCTTCTTTAGAAGGTTCAGCCAATTTCATAAGACTGTCATCTGTCTTCTTCCTGTGCCATTCATACCTATAAAAATGAGTATTACTTCTCATTAATCCTGCAAAAGTACCAACGAATCCTCTCTCCATGTATATCAGGGTAGGCTCAGACTACAGAAACCTGTTTCACTGATAAATGCTGTGAAGCAAAACAAAATTTGCAGACTAATTCAGTTAAGGCAATACACTGTTAAGGCTCATGGACGCTAGCAGCGTAGATTGCTAGTGAAAAGAATGCTTCTAAGAAGGTGCACAACATGAGAATCTGACTCACTGGTAAGGGTTAGTCATTTAAATATTGTTCTGTCAGTGCAATCTGTAAAGTACTGCTGAGACATGGATCAGCAGCACAGACTGCAAAAAGAAAAGCCACAGTCAATTGAACACCTCCTTCCCTCTGTCATTAACATCGCATATAGGGGGCAAAATACTACATTTCCAATTATTTGAGACTTTAAATGGGAACAAGATTCTAAAGTATGAGTTGGTCCAAAGAGAAGGTTTTGAACAGAGAATTCCAGCTACAAGGATCTTGAAAAGGACATGCTTTGCACATATGGGGACCTGAAAAGAGACCTTTTCTTTTAAAAGCATTTTAGAGCAGTGGCTTGAAATTTGGCAGAAAGAGTTGCTTTTGGGTCAGGTAAATGCCTTGTGCTGTCCTTATGAAAATCCATCCAAAATCTAGCCAATTTATAATCCCATGAAGAATTATAGTTGGTGCATGCTCAGAAGACATATTAGATTCTAGCAGCTGAATTCCTCAAATTCCCTCTGTACTGAGCATGCTGCAGTCTAAGGCTGAGCAGGCCTGCCCCTGCAATTACAGCCCTGGGGACTAGAAACCTGAACTGAGACCAAGGAAGCCATCTTGCTGGATACATCTACACTGCACAACACTGGCAACGATGTGTAGGGTATGTGTAAGTACATGCTGGACTGTGCCCACTGCAAGGATCAGATAAAAGTATCAGATCCAGCAAGGGGAAGACAGCAGGAAAACTCTTTGGCAATGGGGAACTGCCAGTGACTTTTCCTCCTGCCTCCTTGCTACTAAAGTTTTCCTCTGTGGCAAGAAAAGGCATAAATCAGCAAGGAGCTGCTGAACACTTTCCTCACCCCCTCCTCTCTGCC